TATAAACATTTTGCTTTATATGTTATAGAGCCAACTGTGACTGTAAAAGTTTTTTAAGGTTTTAATCATTTTTGTAATTTGATGGCTATAACCTGTATATGGTTGTCATGAATGAACTGTACTGTACGCTGATTCTGGCTGGTGGAAGTAGGTGTGTCTCTGTAATAAGATCTCACGGGTTGCTGTATAATGGCTTCCAAATACAGACCAGGCTTGTGGTTTCCTGAGCTTGTGAAAAGATTAAGCACAGCAAAAGTGTTGCTTTACTGTACAGTTACAGTGTACAATGGGTGTTTCTGGATTCCTCTACACACTGCCTGTTTGTGGTGGGAGCAATGATGAATCAAAGGCCAAGTTGTGCCGGTCCTACAACTTTTCACCCAACCAGGCACGTTGCCAATTTGGTGGACATCAACTGCTGTCATCCCCAGTGAGTCCACTGCACTGAGGGAAATGAGACTCAAAGTCTGATGCATCAGGAAAGTGATGGGTTGATGAAGGTTGCTATAGTGGTGTCTTCTCAGATTTTTTTACTCAGGCTTCTAATATAATACTGCACTCCTTCTGTGACCCTCTTTAGAAGACAACATGGCTGCTGAATCAATCATCCGGATTCCACCATACCATTACACCCATGTCTTGGACCAGAACTCGAATGTGACTCGGGTGGAGGTGGGACCCAAGACTTACATCCGTCAGGACAATGAAAGGTATGGGGTGGGCAGTATTCAGGGGGGTGTAGGGGTCACCCCCTTATTTAGCTAAATGTCTCTCTGTCTTGCCATGAATTCTGCCCTCATCCACACAACAGAAGAAAAATGTCTGCCTCTCTTAAAGCTGCTAGTTACTGCTAGAGAGCATCAGGAAATGGATCCAGGAGTGATTTCCTGACTAATCCAGCTATTAATTTCAACTGGAGTAGACCTACTGAATCAATTGAATTTGTATAAATGTTGGCTTACCAGGTTGGCACTGGATATATTTTAGAAGTAGGGAAAGTATGGCCTGTGGGGCCCAGGGTTCCACCCCATACGATTTCCAAAATGGTATTTGTTTAATCTCAAAACACCTCCCAGTGCTGGAAGGGGACAGATTTTGAGTTGCTTGGTTTTTTTAAAAAAAATAACAAACACATGTCAAATGCTAAGGGCTGGTAGCACAGCAAGGGAATACTGTGAGAAGAAGTATGTTCCCCCAACCTGTTGCCCTCTCCTGATTTGTCATGCCATAAAACTTTAGTGATGGTTGTCCCTGTTTGCAATTTTCTGTCCCTCTCACAAAGTGTACCCTTCTCTACTTTTAATTATCTAATTTCTTGTCTCTTTTCTAATTAGTGTTACTTTCACAGAAGCTGCCTATAAAGTGCTGTTAACTGTCTCCAGTAAGGTCTGCTAGCCTAAACTTGCTAAAGTAGAGCAAAACATTTTGCAAAGCAAAGCTACTATGGCAGCTTTTTAAGACTGATAATTCTGCTAAACCTGAGCTGCTAGGGAGCTCAAGGATAAAATCCTGGTGGTAGCATATGTCAGTGTAAGTAGCCTTATGTAGTAGCCACACTTTTTAGGATGTTGCACAAGGATTGTATCCCGATGGGAGCAGAGTTTTGCCATGTAGGTAAAGATGAAGGTATTCCCCGATGACAAGGTTGTGAAGTCATGTCCAATCATAGGGGCAGTACTCATCTCCATTACTAAGCCGAAGAGCCAGCGTTGTCAGAAACTACTCTGTGATCATGTGGCCAGAATGATTGCACAGAATGCTGTTTACCTTCCCACCAAAGTGGTACCTATTTATCTACTTGCATTTGCTTTCTTTCAAACTGCTAGGTTGGCAGAAGCTGGGACTAGTGACAAGAGCTAACCCCATCATGCTGTGTAACTGTTGCAAAAGCAGCTGTGCTTTTTAAGACATTGTGAATAACTGTGTCCCCAGCGCACTTTGACTGGAGGCTTGTTGACTGTTGTGTAACAAGACCGTACAACACTGTGACACAGATAATATGGCTGGTTGTGCAAGCCAGTATTTTAAATACGTTTTTAATTTGTTCATTTTCTGATTCCTTGTGTTATTGTGGATTGTTTTATTAAATACGTTTTTAATTTGTTTATTTTCTGATTCCTTGTGTTATTGTGGATTGTTTTATTTTATTGCTGTATTTTTTAACTTCCTTCTAGTTTAATTCTGTTTTAAGGGGATGGAAGGGTTGGATTATGGGACGAGGGAATGTTTTAACTTGTTTGTTTTAAAATGTTGTACCCCGCCCCGATTGCCACACAGAGGGGCGGGCTATAAATAAAAATTATTTATTTATTATTATTATTATTCCAGCATCATAGTATATCCATGGCATAGCTATACTGGCATAATTTCAAGCTATACAATGTGACAATTTGATTTTGACCCAAATTGTTTCCTCCAGAATCCAAATTCCTAGAGGTCTCTTTCTTCCCACTTCTCCTCTTCTCTCAACCTAGGATCATATTTCCCCCAGTGAAAATGGTGATGGTCCCCCCACGCCATTACTGTATCATTCTCAACCCAGTCATTCGTGGGGCAGATGGCACCATCCAGCTTGATGCTTTGGGGCAGGTGCGGCTCAGACATGCTGACCTAGAGATTCGACTGACTCAAGACCCTTTCCCTTTGTATCCAGGAGAAGAGCTAAAGCAGGTAAGGAAGAGTGAGTCTCTCTTCTTCACAGAGGGACCAACAAGGAGGAACTATTCAGAAGCTATTTCTGGTGTGGCTGTTAAATCCTGGATTCTTGGCAGGGGGGACACCTTCATCATAAAGGAAGTTTTCTCAGGGTGAGGCTCATTCATTGCAGTCCTGGTGTGCTGACCCTTGCAATTTCCCTAAATGCAGGAAACTCAACTGTGTAATTTGTGGTAGTGGTAGCTATGAGTGACTCCAAAGTGTGGCCCTGGCATTGCCTCTCTTCCTTTACTCACTATATCCATACTCCAGATGCTGGAGAATGTAAGATGGAGGGAACAGTTGCACTCATGTCCTGTTTTGTGGACCTTGTGAGGGCTTCCTCTTAGCCCACCACTGCTACCATTGTGAGGACCTCCATCTGTCCCTTTGCTATGGCACCGAACATAGGCCCTTGTAGATGCCCTCATGATTCCTGTGTGAGATCCCACCAATGGATCCCACCACCCTTGAACCACTGCTGCCACG